AACATAGTTGGGGGGGGGGGGGGGGGGCGCCTACTACTACTACTACTACTACTACTACTACGATATTGTTATTATTGCCCAGGTTCTTGTTTTTCAGAACGACCATTCTTGCAACTGTCATTGTCAAGTTATTGGGCTTGCACCTCCAAAGGAAGGTCCTCGGCAAACATCGTATTGCGGACAGGTTTTGTTCCGACCCTTACCAAATCATTTTAAAGGTTACAAATGCGTAGTAGTATGGGCTATCACAACTTTTATTTTCAGCGGTGCGGGTAGCTCTCCCTGCAACCACCACAACTACCCGAATTGGGAACACAAACCTTTTTGACCCGCACAACTCGCCTGGAATGGCAGGTTTTGGGGTTTAGCGTTTCAACCCACCACCCCTACTAAACCCTAGCTGCAGACCAAAGCAAGCAGCAGGTCTGTCGCCGACTTCAAAGACCTCTCCAAGAATGTTTGTTTGAGGCCCTGAGGAACCTTGAGACTGAACTACGGTGGAGTCGGCCATGTTTCAGAGCTTGCGATGACTAGCTGCGCTCTTTTCCAACCCCTTCGCCCGCGGTTCCAAGAAGAGACCAACTCGCAAGTGTAACGACTAAGAAACACAAACCAAACGCGCGGTGAGCTAGCAAGTAGCACAAACATATCTCGGCAATTGGTATGCGTCAGTGTCCACGTTTTGGACTTTGTAGTAGCAAAATGCAGAACTCCACATCCCTGCCTCCTGCATTCCCTTGCGGCTTAGGGTTTAGGGTTTAGATTTCCCTTGAAACCCACGGGGCAGTGTCCATGAACAGGGGACACCATTATACACCCGAAGATATTAGATTCCTTACCATGGGGACTGGCAACAAGAGACCCTCATCTTTGGAACCCTTAATCCACACAAGCAAAAGGTTCCATTCAAGTCTAAGCTCTCTTGTGCATTTGATTCTCCATTCTTGGGGGAAAACTTTATCCCTACAACCCGGGGAACCCCACATAACCCTATATTTCCCCAATACACCCGCGCGTATCACCATACATCCCTGATGATGCTTTCACCATCCCCTAAACCCTACACCCTACACCCTGAAGCCCTGAAGCCCAAAGCCCTAACCTCCAAACCCTGAACCCTAAACCCTAAAGCCCTAAATAATAGTTTCCATTTTCTTTTCCACTATCCCTACCCTAAACCCAAAACCCTATAGTAGTTTCCATTTTCTTTTCCATTCTCCCAACCTATAGCCTAAACCCTATACTAGTTTCCACTTTCTTTTCCATTATCCCAACCTATAGCCTAAACCCTATACTAGTTTCCACTTTCTTTTCCATTATCCCAACATATAGCCTAAACCCTATACTAGTTTCCATTTTCTTTTCCATTATCCCAACCTATAGCCTAAACCCTATAGTAGCTTCCACTTTCTTTTCCAGTATCCCAACCTATAGCCTAAACCCTATACTAGTTTCCATTTTCTTTTCCATCATCCCAACCTATAGCCTAAACCCTAAACCCTAAAACCCTAAACCCTAAAACCCTGAACCCTAAACCCTAAAACTGTAAACTCTAAACCTATAGCCTAGACCCTAAACCCTAAGCCCTAAAACTCTAAAACCACTAAAACCCTAAAACCCCTAAAGCCCTACCCTAAAAAACCCTAAAACCCTAACATGGCCTGTTCTGCGCGTGGATTCTGAGGATGAGGTTGTAGCAGGCCAGATCTGGTATTATGTCACGCTGCCTGCGGTTTGGGGCTTTAGGGGTTTTAGTGATTTCAGTGATTTTTAATGGTTTTACTGGTTTTAAGGCTTTAGGGGTTTTGGGCTCAGGGCTTAGGGATTTTTGGGTTTTAGGGTTTTAGGGGTTTTAGGTTTAGGGCTTTAGTGGTTTAGCTAGGGCTTTGGGGCTTCAGGGTTGTTAGGATTTAGGGCTCTAGGGTGTTAGGGGCTTATAATAGACACCACACGTCACGAGGCTGCGCTCCTTGCATATGATCCCGGCAGGGATGCAAAATAGCCTACAGCCCCCCTTAAGTAGATAGAATATGGGGCACATGGGGATCTTATTATAATATACCCAAAGCCATATTCTATCTACTTAAAGGGGACTATAGGTAGATACGTTACGAAGCACCTGTGGTGCTCTTATAGACGTTCTGAGGGGCTTGATTATTTTGCCTGGCCATACTTGGGACTTTACCTACTGCACCTAGGGTGTGTCTAGCAAGTTATCAGGTAATTGAGAGGACCTCAGAAACCCTAACATGAGCAGTGTTTTTTGGTGGTTAAACCCAGTAAGATTATATTCCTTAAACAAAATACTGTACCCAAAAGGAGGATATAATCTTACTCTATATTGGGGACCATGGTATCCCCAAATAAAATACTACTCATGGGCGACAACGTGACTGAACCCCCAGCGTCCATGTATTCCCGCCGACCGCCTGGACCAAGCCCTATACCTGGACCCTGGATGCCCTGCTTGTTCTTTGGATAGTTTGGAGAGACCCTAGAATTAAAGGACTGTATTGGTATACCCTGGTAGGTATATTCCTACTATATTCCAGGGACTTTATTGGGAACCCCTGGTAGGTATATTCCTACTATTACTATATTCTTGGGGTTCCCTGTTTTGGGTTTCCCATTAGAACCCTTTTTACAGAAAATCATGGGCACAACCCCCTTCTAAAGGAAGAACATATCCAGCATCCAGGCAAACCCCAACCAGACCACCTGGCCTAAGCTCATCGAGGATGCTGAAAGCATCGGGAAGCTGCCCTTGCGAGAGAAGGGATGATAGCTTCTCCTTAGCGATGCAGAGGGGCTCTTATGTATGGTAGCTCCCGAAACATCATGTTTCCAACTTATATATCCAAATATACTATAATTTGAGTCCTACATCCTTGCCCATTGCCCAGAGTGGCCTTGGGTAATCAGCGCATGAAGCAAGAACTAGGCAACTCTTCGCTGAGTCCTTCCCGGCAAAAATACTTTCCTTAATCGGCCATTATTGTTGTGCGAGGAAGGTTTCTAGTAAATTCTAATAATAATACTCTTTCAATATGGGAACGAGTCTTCAGCATAACGACCTCCCCCCAGATGCCAGTCTCTTTTGCAAATATCCAGCTCATTTGGGTCCCAACATTGCACACATCCACAAGACGTCTCCGTCCACGAGCAACCTTTCCTGCGGCTAACCTAACAAACACACTTGGCCTGCCACGCAGCAACATTCTGCTTCTTATATAAGAAGAACTTGTTCGAAATTGTCCCCATGGTACCAGTATTCAAGCATCTGAGGTCTCACGATCAGGCTACTGCTTGCTCACGATGAAGCAAATGTTCCCTATGTGGTACCAGCACTAGTTCCGATTATTGAATGCTGGGAGCAGCGGCTCGCTGTTTAGGAGAGAATTGAATATCATGGATCTATAGATTGTGGGCATGCTCTTGGCAAACAGCCAACGATCAAACTTGAGCTGGAGTAGCAATTCCGACAGATGCACGCAGATGCAAGACATTACCTTGACCCTCCTTCTACCCTCTATTAGGGCCTAAGTACCCCCACATGGTATTCAGCTTCAGTAATACTCGTCTGGCGTAAGCGCCTGGCGAAGTAGGCTTCCGGCGTTGCAGTCAGCGACTCCAGGTCTAGAAAAAGGTTTAAGACCTGGCTAGGGTTTAGGGTTTAGGGTTTAGGGCAGCGCGCGCCGGTAGAGTAACAGCAATACACTACGAGGATGTCAGAAATCTGTGCCATGGATCACTTTTTTTTTGCGGTGGCCCTCACAATCCCAGAATCCTCCTTCAAGATGTGAAGGTGCATGCAGGTTTCGAGGCGCAAAAGCATATAGCTTTCGGTGCTAATGCCGGGAATTTTTGCATGCAGCATCATACTCCAGGATTTTTCCCATTGTCACCGTCCGACGTAGACTACAAGTAAATTTCTAGAGGCTGGTAGTAGATAAGCTGATGGGATAAAAGCCATTTCAATCAGGTAAGTGCAAGCATCTGAAATCCAGCTCGAGTTTTCTGTAGAGTCCTGGAATTGCGGGGGACATGAACGGACCTCTCTTTTGAGATGTGAAAAATCAGCCGCAGTGTTGGCTGTCCCCTAGAAGAAACCAAACGTGGAGAGGGCAGCGGGCGCTCAATTCCAGGCTTGCAAAGCGGGAGCCTCTTCGTCAAGCCCTGATAGCCGCAGCGCACGCAGGGCCTGGCAGCGCAAATGGCTTTCCCTACCCCATGGCAGTCTGGAGAAATTCATCAGCGTCCATGGACAAAAGCTTGCAAGGTCTCAGAAGCCTTGAGAAGCGATTTTTTCCGCGGACATTTACGCGAAGGGAGCCTTCGGAGCCTTCAGCATGTATATAGCTTTGAGCCGCTCCTGGAAGAAGTTGCGAGCCTCTTCTTTGGGTGGCGGGCCGCCAGCCGGAGGCCAGTGCATGAGAAGCTCACTGCCAATGCGGATGCAATCCTCTACATGGTCAGGAGGAACCTCCGTTAGGTCCTCTGAGAGCTCTCGGTCCGTGATAATGCCCAGTTCACACAAGAGCCTTAAGGCTTGACGCCGGGGACCTGAGGCTGAGCGGTAAGCTGTAGCCCAAGTGCCTTGGCCGAGGATGCGGCCGCCCACTTCAAGCGTGGAGGAAAGCTCTGCCTCCACATGATGGATTCCACCTGGACTCTGATGAAAGGGACTCCGTGTCGGAGAGCTGGGCATGCTCTGCTGCTTGGGGCTCCATACGCTCTTGTCGTGAAGCTCTACAAGCACGTCAGTCGCCACGTGCAGAAGCCGGAGCAGCGGCGAGGCGCTGATGGCGCTCGAGGCGCCTGCACTCTTTGGGCTGGAATGGTCTGGAGCAGCGAACGCTGGTGGCGGCAGCCGGTGGAGCTGCAAGGAAGCCTGGAAAGGTGAAAATGACAAGTTATGAGCAGCCCTCTCTCTCTCCCTGCGTCTGTGTCCCCTCACCTCAGCACTGTCGACAAGCATTTTGAAGCCAAGTCTCTTCGCTCTCCAGCGTCTCCAGCAACTCATGGGTGCGGCCCATGCCTGTCACTTTGGCGGCCAAGGTGTCCAAGCGATCCCGCAAAGAGCTTACCTCGAGCTGAAGAGCCCTCAGCTCCGCCATGGCTAGACAGTACTTACTCCACTAAGAAGCAAAGCTCCTAAGATTAGCAGGTGGCACTACACAAAAGTGTCTTATGTAGGTATCTTGGAAGGAATGAGGACAACCCAGTAATGTTCCCATGGCTTCTGCTCCCTTGAACCACGCACACGCGGACTTTAAGTGGTACTTGCCTTCCTGCACCTTATGCCAGTTGCTGTGCACTGAAGGTGATCAGCTCATGACAAGAACAAATCCACGCACGCAACTCAGCCAGTCCGTTGCTGCCTTTTCGCACTCGCCGCATGTGTAGGCCGGTTTTCTGCTGTGTGAAACTCACGCCTGAATTTCAGGAGCCACTGGTTATATTAGGGTTATATAGGGATAATGGAAAAGAAAATGGAAACCACTATAATGGGGTTCTGGGGGTTTAGGCTTATATTGGGGATAATATAACAGTATGCTTTTGGATCCTGGGGCTGCATCCGTAGAGCTTCGTGTAGAAACCTGAATGCTAGGACAGTCAGAATTCTAAGGTTAAAACCATGGGCCCCTAGTATGGGCCCTTAACCCTGGGATCCTTATATACCTATTATGTACCCTATATGTACCCTTAAAACCCCTAGAATCCTCCTAAAAAGGCCTAAGGGCCCATATTAGGGGCCCATACTTCTACCCTTAGAAGAATGTTTGGAGAGGCATCCACCTCGAAGACCTCGTCTTCCATAGCTACATGCAAGATGCCACTTGCCAAACATAGGGCCAATTGAATTGTAACTTTATTGCATCTCCTACCAGATACCCGGACACACCCCAGAAATAATGCTAACTTTCTCTTACGCGTCTTTAAAACAGACCCGACATGCTCAGAAACCTACCACTTGACCTATGATCCTAACGCAACCAGACCTACACATTTGTAATTGCTCTCGTGGCACTGTTAGGGGCTGATCAGGATCAGCTACACTAGTCTCCACGAGTACGTGTATACCCGACTGAAATAGAGAATGCCTTACCCTAGCCGCGTTTTGTTCAGGCTGCTACATTGGCTCTTACCGATTCCTCAGCTCCCAGAGCTCGAACACGTCGATGTCCAAGTCCGGGAACTGCAGTTGGAACTGCCGCATGGCCTATGGTAGGACTTTTGGAGTTTGAACTTTGAAGTCCCACCTAGAATCATCCAACATGGTAGACCCCCAAATACTATAATCCCTATTATTGGGACCCCCAAACTGGTGCCCCTAATTATGGGAAACCCCTAAATTTGGCTTCAGGCAATCTGGCCGTCATGGTCCAGTGCGGATGCAGGCCTAGCTGCCTAGCTAAAGCTGTGCTTTATACAGGCTGACGTCAAGACCGCTGACCCTCGAAATGGGCTTTGGGGTTCTAAACTCAAGGCCTTTCTTGGAAGCGTTGTTGACGTTTCCCCCCCCTTGCCACGGAGGGTTCGGGGCAAATTTTTCTGGCCAGCATCATCAGCATGATTGGGCCTGCGGTTCTCGTTTGTGAACACCTCAACATATCTAAGCAGTGGCTGCTGTGTCCCTGGAATGTGTTGCAACCCGCAGCAACAAGCTCAAAAAATGAGCTGTGGGCAGTTCTTGCCTGTCCTGCATGACAAGCATGCGAGAAGCTTTGCGCGCGTTACCCAGGCCAAACCCTCTAAACTGCGCATTTGCATGTTTCTTTTTTGAAAGAACCTAGTAGTTTGAGAGATCCTGCGCTTCAAGTGCACACCACTTGAACCTATCAATTGCATTGATGTGTTGTTGCTGGCTTCCAAGAAAGATACACGTGGGCCAAATCACGGTCAGCTTGCGCAGAAAAAAATGTTCAACACCCTTTTTGACTGCTTTGCTTGGGTTTTTCCCTCCTGGTCCGAATTAAGCCAAAATCAACTCTCAATTGTGCCGATGATGCTCGATACGGCGCTTGCCGTACGCGAGGGCCATCGTCACAATTAGGGCCCCAGACCCTCGCGCAGGGCAACGTAACTTTGTAGGAATAAAGACAGAAAAATTGAACAGGAGCTTGGATACTACCAGTACTACCAAGCGAACAGAAATTGACTGCGATGTGCTGTGCTATTTCCTCATTCCAGGCTGCCTAAGGTGCCCTCTGTTCGCGATCCCTACGGGCGTGGTGAAGGGCGTCCGAGCGAACATTCACAGGCTGGGGCGGGGCTCCAAATTCTACAAGCAACTGTGATTCCAACAGTATTCGCTTTACTACCAATCATTCCTGTGCTGCATGAGAAAAGAACAGCAACAAAAGTGCATACTCAACCACGTCCCAAAGGCCCCAAGGCAAGAGAGGCATGGGCTGATTGTGGTGAACCTCAGAACACGTAGGCACGAGTCCGGAAATATGCTGCAGTCTAGCCTTCGCCTATGACTGGTTGTAGACATCCTGATTTATCAAAATGATGAAGCTGGTCTACTACGGGTAGGAATCGTTGACATGACCTCTAATCCAACACGTGGAAGGGATGCCCAAGGCTTCTGAACTGCAAAGGCTGCTGTAGGTAGCAATGATGTGGTCTGTAGCCTCAGTTTAGTCGAGCAACAGTGACACCACTCCAACCATTCGGCAGCCCGTCAGTGGCTCGCTGGATAGAAGATGTGCCACTTCCTGAGAACTTGTGGGGGCTCCAAGTTTTTGAGCCTGAGAATCTGTACGCAGGAGTTTCTATGTTTTGGACAATTTGGTTCATCTGGAGGCAGCAGTTGATTGCCATTAACATGTGCAAAAGTCAGGAGTGCGACAATTCTGCAGCTGCATGAATCATGTGTAGCTCAACAGTTGAAGGAAGCAATCCAACTTGAAAGACATTGATCTGTGATAGGCCCCAGCATCCGACAGCGCCTGGAATTCAGCGCACAGCTGCCTGTTCACCTTAGCGAGCCAGGTTTCGAGTCAGGAGCCCGATTAGCAATCCCCTTAACAGATGGGGGTTTCCCAAATTAGGGGTACCATTTTGGGAGTCCCTATAATGAGGATTTTAGTCTTTTCGTCCCCTATTTTGGGAAACTACCGAATACCATACCAACGCGTACCGTCCGCGTCATGTCGGACCCCATACTCACCTTGATGGTAAACGAGGGCAACGGCTGTGACATGGCTTCAATGACCACCACCACACCATGACCAGCGACATCATAACCAGATGCTCTCCATTAATGTCACTTCGGGAATCTGCATTTGTGAAACACCACCTGCAACTCCTGCAGCATGATCCCTCCACCCCTCCACCGATGAATCCTGTGATTCTCACGTGTCACAGCATGGGAAATGCTTCCTGATCCACACGGGGGCTCTCAAGAAGGAGCAAACCTTGCCAGGACGCCCGCGCGCTATGGGGAAGTCGAATTGCGCGCAGCTGCTGTGTCTGGGGCAGACCTTGCCCTCCTGTTTCTTTTTGATGGGCTTAGGGATGTTTAGGGTTCAGGGCTTGTTACTGGCAACCTTTTCGAAGGGTTCAGGATGGAGTTCAGGATCTAGCTTCCTAAAGTTTAGTGTTTGGAGCTCAGCATGTGGTGTTCGCGGCTCAGCTCTAAGGAGAGGCCGAATGAATGTATATATGTATATACATATATGTGTGTAATGTATGTATATAGGGCCTTGATGAGTCTGCTGTACATCTGGGTTCAAGGTGCGAATTTGAAGGCTTTCACACATATTATCGCAGGATTCATATTGGGTTTGAGCTTTGCAAGTGGGCTGTCGGAACTGGGAGCCTTGGGGGTACAAGTATCGTGTGTATTGTCTTTTGCCCATGCTTCGAACTGCCATGCCTCCCCCTGAGCTGCAAAAGGCTCAAAGTCTGATCAGTCTTCCAACCTCGCAGACCCCAAGTAGCAACCGAAGGGCAGGGGCCCTTGACGTACTTGGGGACCCAAGTTAGAAGATTCTCAAGAAGCCTGGCGCCTCGGAGGCCAGACTCGTAGAGCAGCTGACCACTGCGCTGCAGCAGCACATCGTTAGAGCCCTCGGGCGCTGCAGCATACCTGGGGGGGGCGACACAAAACCTTTGCCCTTTTTAGCTCTAAGAGCTGCCCAGGCACTCCAAGTAGGCGAAGACCCTCCAAGGCTCCAAAGCTCCGTAGCGAAGCTCCAGGCCCTGATCTGGACTAAGGTTTTGGGTATAGGGATCCTTTACGAAGGGCTTAGGGCTTAGGGATCTTTAAAAGGGTTTTAGGGATAATTTACAAAGGGTTTAGGGTTTAGAGATAAGAGATCCTCTGCAAAGGGTTTAGCGTTCAGGGATCTATAAAGATGTAAGGTTTAGGGAGCCTTTTTACACAGGGTTTTGGGTTTAGGGGTCCTTGAAATAAGGTTTAGGGATCCTTTATCAAGAGTGTAGGGTTTAGGGACCATTTATAGATAGTTCAGGGTTTGGGGATCGGTTTATGGATCCTTTATACATGGTTTAGGTTTAGGGATTAGGGATCTTTAAGAAGTGGTTATAGAGATTATGTACAAAGATATAACCTAGGCGCCCTTTTCAGGGGTTCTGGGGATATTCAGGGATTCGGGTTTACGGGTGATTTTGAAATGAAAGCTGGGCTTACATGGGGTGGGTAGGCATTGTCAAGTAATTAGGGGCTGAAAGGGCCCAATGGTTAAGAAACGTGATATTACGGGGTTTCAAGGTTTAGGTTGCAAAAATGAGACTAGGGTTACACGCGGGGAATGTTGGTAACTACTCAGGCCGCTGCAGTAATTTGATAACCTCACATGAGGCCATTTTGGGACTATTAGGTCTTTTCACCATTAGGACTCCCATTTAATTACAGAACACAAGATACGAAGATCCTCACAAAGGGGGCCCCTGCATTCTTCTAAGCCCCAAACTTCCCCCAAACCCTAAACTCTCTTCCCCAATAACCAGGGTTAAAAGAGTTTAAACTTTATTATAGAGACCCAAAAAGGAAGCCCGGAAAGTTTACACCCTAAACCCTAACCCTAAACCCGAAACCCTAAACCCTCACCTCTAAAGTGATTTGCCCAGTGCCTGAACAGCC